CAAGGATAGCAGTTGGAATGTCTAAAACCCCACTTCCATCATGCTTGACTCTCAAATGTAAAATAGTAGCATTTTCATCAATCTTGCAACCAGCCTTCAATATTAAAGTTTCATCTTTTGCAACGGCTAATGCCAGATCATGCACTACATCATGCATCTTGCAAGATTTGATATCTCCATGTGCATCCATTTTCACATCTTGAAATAAGGATTTAGATAACAAATAGTTAAAAGTAGGCATCACCAATTTCTTCCATTGTCATGGAGCTTTCATTAGGTTGGTGAAGAAATCCTTGAGCCATCCAAAGTTGAACTAAATCATCCTTTTCAATGATGAAATCCTTTGGAAATAATGAGCAATAAGAGAAGCATTTTTTCAAAGGTGGAAGCAAATGATCAAAACTTATTTTTAAAACAGATAAAATCCATTTTCCTTCTTCTGAATCCAAATTCCATGCATTATTATCTCTAATAGCCTTCCACATACTTATTTGAATTTCACGGTTCAATGCTCCTCCAATGACAATTGCAATCAATGGCAAGCCCCCACACTTTTTGGCAATTTCCACCCCAATATCTTTCAAATCTAAAGAAATTGATTGCTTTCCTGATAATCTGAGAACCTTCTCCTCAATTATTGACCAGCATTCATGACTCGATAACTTACGCATTTTATAAATTTGCATAGAATTTTGCATAAGATTCATCTTCATCATCCCAAATGCTACCTGTTCATCACGAGTTGTCACCACAATAGAATTCCTAGTTGTCTTCAGAAGTCTGGAGAGGCGATCACTGAAAGCATTCCACTTGGAATAATCTTTGTTCCACACGTCATCGAGAACGAGAAGAAAAATCTTCTTTTCTAACTCTTTTGCAAGATCTTCAACAAGCATATTGATGCTACTTGGATGGGGACAAGCCTTAAAATGTTCATACAGCTCTCTTAAAATTGTTTCCTCATTGAAGTCTTCAGAGACACACACCCAGGCTACTAGATCATAGCGCTTTTCTTCCTGTGCCTTTTTGTATATTAATTTTGCTACTGTTGTCTTGCCAAGGCCTCCCATGCCAACTATGGAAACACCAGAGATTAGATACCCTTTTTCCCTCAAGTCATCCAGCATGTCAAGAATTCTCAAAACATCATCTTCCCTTCCGGAGACTTTTGAATCACCAAGAAGGGAGTCTGTCTTGGGTAATTGCATGGTAGTTGGATGAAATTCGCCTGACACTAGATTAAATAGACGTGTACGCTCCTTTAATTCATCAAAGCGCACGTTAATATCTTTTATCTTGTCAACAATATCAGAAGTGATCGAACTCCTTTTCCTCTTCTTCTCCCCACGAGTCTCGACACAGCAGCGAAGATGCTCATAATCACACTCATCGAGTACATCCTCAACATCATAAGCTAGCCTTTGGAGATCTTGTAACCAGAGCCTTACAGGGTCATCACTTTTTTCCCCCTGTTTTCGCTCTGCATCATTGATCATAGACTGGATCATCTTTAGTGAATTTCTAAGGTTTATGAGCTGCGCCTCATGGTCAGAAGAATCTGAAGCTGTCCACCATCTATAAGCACGTGGAATCGATTCGGAACCCAACGCCTCTATAATAGGGGCAAGATGAAGTTGGTGACAAAGTCAAGTATCATACTTGGAGACAGAGAGAGATCGAGAAAGCAACTGATGAATTCTGAGACAAAGGAAAAACAAAATAGTGTTGTGAGAGCGAAGGGGTAAAAACAGAGTTGTGTTTTCTCAAATATTAAATCGTTTGTAATGTTTCGGTCTTGTGAGCATTCTCTTTTTCCTTTATTACGGCTTTCTCTTTTACAGAAAATCAAATATTGCTGCACCTGGTCTTATTAATTAATTAACCATAGAAACGCCTTTCAAATTCATGAACAATAGACAGAAATCACTCAAGAAATTATTTGAGTTGCTATCAAATTATACATATTAGTTGAACGAAAAGGGAAAAGTAAGCAAGATGAAATAGATAGACTCTCTTTTTTTTTTTCCTTTTTTTTTTTATGCCATCAAAGAAGCTGGAAATTTAGTAATAAAATTGTCAAGTGTCCAATTTAAACAGCCAAGAGTCTCATTTATTTGTAAGCTTTTAGATGGTTTTTATAACTAAATAAACAATACAACATACAAGCAAAAATCAATGGACTTGAAAAGTATAATTGTTATATTTGAAGCCTCTCTACCAAAATCCTAAAGAATTCCCCAGAGCTTTGAAGTTTGAAAGCAATTAAAGAGCAAACAACGTAGTCACTTACCAGGTCTCAAATGCCAAACCACACAGCGCAGACACGAGATTTCGGAGAGGAAAACGAGAAGCTGTTTGTGAGACTTGAGAACAATTAGCAGAGATGATGAGGAAATAGGTAGAGGTGAGGTATATTGAATTTAATAATTTAATGCTTTTTCTTCGATTTTTCCTCTTTCTTCTTTCTTTTCTTCCTTCAATTGAAGTGATTTTCCTTTGGGAAAAAAATCTGGCAGTTCAGACTAACCAACCGCGCACACCTCCAATTCAGCAATTTTTTAGGTTTCTCTAGCAAGTGCCGTTGTACTTCTATTAATTGAATTTTCAAATTAAGAGTTTTTTAATAGTAGAGGATAAATGTATATATATTTTTTT